CCCCTGCTGCTGCTTCTGCAAAACAAGCAGTTTGGATTCAATGATTCCCAGGTCCCTCTGGGCCGCAACAGCTTCCAGTTCCCAGGCAGAGTAGCCAGGCACTTGAATTCCCCTTGCACACACCCCCCTCGGCCGGGGCTTCTGACGGTGGCCATCGGCCTTCCAGGGAGCGGAGACACACCTCCGAGCCGACGGACGCCTCACTGTCTTCGCGAGCCGTGGCGGCTCCAGCCTGCGGCATCGGGTGCCGTGATGCCCCCTGGGCGCGGAAACCCGCTCAGCTGCTGCGGTAAAGCCTGGTCGAGTCAGCTGCTGGCAGGGGAGGCTCTCGGGCACAGCTGGCGTGCATTTGCTCTTGCGTGAGCGTGCAGAAGTCTGTCCCACAGCCCTTAAGCATGCTTGGAGGCCGTCACGGTGGGAAAAGGAGAAATTCCGGGATGATATCTAACTCCTGTACACTCACATGCTTGAACGTCACATCCGTGTGCACGGTGGACGCTTCACACAGCGCTGCAGTAAACCTTCAGGTGCAGCTAAATTGTGAAAACCTGCTGGGTGATGATCATGTGCACCTGTGGTTCCGCTGGGTTGTCGTTGGACGGCAAGGGGCGGGGGCTGTCGAGCCACGGCCGCGTGTGGTGGAGGGTCAGGCGAGGGAAGCAAATCACCTTCCTTGACGGAGACGGAGACTCCGCTGACCACCTGCAGCTTTGCCCCAGGCTTGTGCAGAATCCAAGATGGCACTGTTTCATACTCCGGGTGTGCTGTTGAGGGTCAGGCTATGTACTGACTGGGGCCCCAGCTCCCTAGTCCACAGGTCTTAATAACCTTCACAATGGTTTCCCTTCCTTCAGCGCTGCTCGGGTTGCCGCCCGGGCCTGAAGTGCGCCGTGTGCTCGCGAAAGGTCTGGGCCGGGGCCGTGGCGCTGTGGTCTGGTGGCTGCTGGCTCCTTCCGGCTGGTCGCAGGCTGCATGGCCGGGCACTGCAGGACACGGCACCACCTGGTGGGGGTCCCCCGGGGGGACCCGTCCGAGGGACTCCCTGCCTTGCGGAGAAATAAAACTGCTGGGGAAGAGAAAAAGCGGGGCTCTGGGTGAAGGCTCTCTCGGCCCTGGGGCTGACATGACAGCGGGGTTCAGGCCAGGACTCTGTACCCCTGGCTTGGGCTCTGGGGCTGCTCTCGTGGGGCCCTGGGCTCAGTGTCTTTGTGGGGAGCTGGACATGTCAGGCTTTCTCGGAGGTGTTTCTGCTGTGTGCGTGGAGTCCAAGAATCGTGTCCATGAAGACCTCGCTTCCCGGCAACCCCAACGCCCCCTCCCTCCCTGTTCCCCGTGTTGCCTGGAGAATCAGGTTGCGGGCAAATCGGTCATAACTGCACGCTCTAGGAACTGCTGGCCTGGACGCTTGTCCACACAGGCACCGTCCTCGGGGGCAGAGTTTCTCGTGAAGTCGTTCTTGAGACGCGCCTGCAGGCTGTCTTCCTGGGGGAAGCCGGCTTGACGCATCTGACCCCTCTATAAATACACTGGCGTGAAAGAGCCAGAGGCAGGTAACTACAGCTCTAAACACACTGGCGAGGACAGGGCTTCTCCATAACCAGTTACTGTCTTCTCATGCTCATCCTTTCATGGGAAAATTAAGTGGCTTCAGATTGCCCTTAATGGGCCAGTCAGTGTAACCCAACCTGCTGTCTGTGTCTGCCGTGTAGCGGCGTGGAAGAGTCATGTTGAGTCCGAAGGAGGATGCCGAGGTGGCCGTGGGGAGGGGGGGCCACTTCTAGGCCCTCTCGCGGGTGTTTGCACCCCAGTGCGCCGGCCAGGGCGGCGCCCCTTCCCTGCCACGCTGCGGCTACCGCGGGGTGGGGCGCCGCCTTCAGACTGACGTGTGGGGGCGCGGAGCCTCGCCACGCAAACGGCACGCCTCAGACCCATGACGCGCTGGCAGGGACACCAGCCTGGGTGGCACTGGCGGGGTGGGGGGCGATGGAAGCCAAAACGTTGGGTGAGGCAAGAGCCCCCGGACCCACAGCCGGTTTCTAGGCTTCAGACCCGTGTGTTCCACACTGGGTGTCTCGGGGCTTCCCGTGAGCCGTGATTGACGTGTTGTCGGTTCCCGCAGCCGGTCGCTAGTAGCCTGGAAGTGATGGAGGGAGTGTAGTAGGTCACTGCTCACAGCCGGACGCCCTCGGTGTTGCTGGGCACGTGCGAGGGTGGCCATAGGAGGGCTTGCTTTGACAGGGCCTCACCTGGGCCTCCGGCAGCTGCAGAGACTCCACCGACAGTGGGTCTGCCGCCCTGGTCCACGCCGGCCACTCGGAGGAGAGACCCTTGCTCCGTACGCAGCCAGGGGAGGGTGGAGGCGGCCAGGGGAGGTAGTGGAGGCCAGAAGAGGCAGTAGAGGCCAGGGGAGGTAGTGGAGGCCAGGGGAGGTGGTGGAGGCCAGGAGAGGCAGTAGAGGCCAGGGGAGGTAGTGGAGGCCAGGGGAGGCAGTAGAGGAGGCCAGGGGAGGTCGTGGAGGAGGCCAGGAGACAGTGGAAGCCAGGGCAGGCAATGGAGGCCAGGGGAGGTAGTGGAGGCCAGAGGAGGTAGTGGTGGAGGGCAGGAGGTAGTGGAGGCCAGGAGAGGCAGTGGAGGCCAGGGGAGGTAGTGGAGGCGGCCAGGAGACAGTGGATGCCAGGGGAGGCAGTGGAGGAGGCCAGAGGAGGCAGTGGAGGCTAGAGGAGGCAGTGGAGGCCAGGGGAGGTAGTGGAGGCCAGAGGAGGCAGTGGAGGAGGCCAGGAGACAGTGGATGCCAGGGGAGGCAG